ATCGTTAGCAGAATCCCAGCAAGAATGGGAACCTTTCCCCCTCCAAACTAGCAAAGAAAAGTCAGTTTTGCAACACGCCTCGGTCGGTCAGATGGACTTGAGCAAGAGCCGGGTTTTGAGAAAGAAAACAGATTTATCAACGTTGCTTTGTAGCAACAGGTTGCAAAGAAACTTGCACACATATCCGCAGAACAACCACCGCCATGGGGAAGAGAAAGGGGGGTTTGGGTTTGGGTGCTCCGAGCCATCCGCACGGTGCTCCTGAGCCGAAAAGGGCTTTCCTCGTGGAGAGCTCTTCTGCGCTTCGCCTAGCTGGGAGAGGACTTTACCTTCCTTGCGTCTTATTACACAAACGCGGGACCAATGGATCGGCAGAAGGCGGAAAGCCTTGCTGACCCTCGTGATTGCTCCAGGAGGAGAGCGTAGAATCTGAGCCCGGATGGGAGACCACCAGGAAATGCTGGGATTGTCGCCTAGACCAGGAAGTTGTAAAAACATCCCCAGGCGGTGGCAAACCTCTTCCGTGCTGTTGTCAAGAAAACTCCCGGAACTGGCTCTCGTGAACCACAGCGGTTAGCAATGCTGGAATTTACCTGGCAGAAAATTTACATTTTCTGGGAAGCACCCATGGTAAATCAGTAACCTTGATTTTTCTCCCCCTTCTGCTTGTGTTACTTAAGTAGCTGCCGAGCATTTTATCCCAGCGTAATGGCCCCCCCCGCCGCTGTTTCAAAATGATTTGCAGACGGCAGCTGGCCCTTCTTTTCCCCCGAGGAGCACGTGTTTTTATTTTCCCACCCCAAGACACTTAACATTTCTAGCCCTTGTGACCCGAAGAGGCCACAAACCTGACTGAAAAAATCGCAGCCCTTCTCCGGCTGCACGCAGGGGCACCGTCCCTTCCTTTCCAAACAGCGTGCAAACTTTTGCAAGGTTGGCCGGTCATGCGTGGTCTATTTCGAGGCCCCGGTGCTGGTAGGTGTGCACTGCACACAGAGGCGCCCCAGTGCATTTGCACACATCCTGTTTTCATCTGATCGGCGACCCTGTGCGAAACGGCGTGCTTTGCCTTACGGCGTAAGCGCTTGTCAAGGGTGTAAACAGTCTGGAGAGATTAAATTCACGGGGAGGACGTTTTTATGGAAGCTGGGGAAAAAAATTGCAGAAGAAGGTAAAAGCAAGAAATCGGTGGAGCTGTGTCTTGTGAAATCACCAGGAGGGAAGACTTGGCAGGAAGAGGAGAGTTGGTCCTGGGTTGTACACGGATGGGATACCAACAGGAGATGCCACGACTGTAGGAAAACCACTTTTGTGTCGTTGCCAAAAAGGCCTGGGTTCTCTCCAGCTGATTTGACGGCCCAGTCCTGCATGGGGAGGATAGGACCTGTAGTCCAAGCCAGCTAGACGTTCCGGCTGCTCGAAGCCACGTTCTTCTTACACGGTGGGAACGACGGGGTCATCCGTTGAAGCGTGCAACCTTCGGCCCCCGGGTTGCATCACGGCACACCGTTAGGCCCGCTTGGACTTTTGGACGGCTTCCCCTTTCCCTCTCCAGCTGGAGGATGGGAAACAGCTGGGAGTTTCCATCCCCCGTTTTTTCCCTGCTTTCTTGGCAGTTCCAGCTGGCCCAGGTGGATGGGTGAGTCAGGGGTGAGTCAGGCTGGGCTTCGTGCACCGTCTCGGGGAGAAGCCCAACGGGGGCAGGTTGGGTCTTGCCTCTGCGCCTCTGCCCCAAACGCCGAGAACAGTTATTTCTCTCCTGCTGCGCTGGGGGGAGGCGGGGGGAGCAGGAGGAGGAAAGTCGCTGCAATGCCAAGCAAGCAGGAAGGAGCGCCGCGCCAGTCGGCACAGGCGCGGGCACGCAGGCCTACGTTGCCTGCCTGCCCTCCTGTGCAAATTCTGCCAGGAAGCATCATCTTCTGGGCCCATCGCTCTCCCTTCCTTCTTCCTGAATTAAGGCCTCAAAGGGGATGATTCTCCAGAGCGTTTGACCTAGGGAAAACTGAGGGGGTCCCCACGCTCCATTTGATGAGAAGCTGGATTACGGTTCCCGTCCTCCTGAGAACCCCTGGACCCTCACCCCGAAGCCCTTAATCAGAAAAAGCAGTTTGGCATAAGGGCCAGGATCAACAGGGAAAGGGAACAAATAATTCGTGCGGAGTTGCAGAGGACCTCGCGCGGTGCTACGGGCGTCGTGCCCCTTTAGCGCAGCCTACCTCGCCGGGCTGTACAGGGAACCGAGACACTGCTCTGAGCTTGTTTAGCGGACACGGTGAGTGTAATTACGCGTGCAGAACTAGAATGCCACTCCCCAGGTAGACTGCCTCTGGATCTGGGGTCTCCTTAGCCTCCACGACAAAGGGCCACCATCTTCCATCTTGGGGCAGCCAGTTCCCCAGGGACACCAACGGCCGACCAGTGCAGAAGGGCCAGGCGTGAGCCGAGGGACACGGGAAGAGAGGGGTCAGCTCGAGCGCAGGACGGCCTTCCCCTCTTGCGCCCACCCCGGACCCCGAATGCAAGTGTGTCTTGAGTTTCTTCTTCTTTTTTACATTTTTTATCCCACCTTTCTTATTTTTTTTATAAATAACTAACCCTCCTTCTACTTTCCCCGCCACAACAACCCTGCGAGGTGGGTTGGGCTGACAGAGGAGGACTGGCCCAAAGTTCACCCATGTGAACGTGTGTCTTCTGAAATGTATGTATGTATGTCTGTATATGTATGTATGTATGTACGTATGTATGTATGTATATTCTCGCCCCAAAGAATGGGTATATAGGTATGTATGTGTGTGTGTGTATGTGTGTATATATATATGTATGTATGTATGTATGTATGTATGTTTATTCTCGCCCCAAAGAATAGGTAGTCCTTTGGGTTTGAAGAAACACACTTTTGTGCAATTCATCTGTGGGCACAGAGGTGGCTTTGCAGTCCCAGTCTGGAAATGCATAGTGCTTCTCAACCTTGTCGGCTCGAAGATGGGTGGACTTCAACTCCCAGAATCCCCCAGCCAGCAAGGATTCTGGGAGTT